ATATAATGATTGAGAAGGGCGTGACTTTGATACCATGTTAAATAAATGGCTGTTGGCCTAACTAAACCCCAAAAACATGAAGGAAAAAAAAACTAGCTCAAAAGGATGGAATCCAAGATCGATACAAAAATTGCCTCCCACCCACCGATGTGGGACTCAACACCCCCGCACGTTCTGACATCTAGAAACGTGAACAATATAAGATAGAGACCTAACATCGTGTGAAACAAGAAATAGATTGTGTTGAAGTGTGACCATCTCATCTAATTATATCATCAACTTAGTTTATAGAGAGACCACACTTTAATTTACTTGACTGTATTCTCAACACCCCCAGGGTCAACTAACGCACAATTAGAAACTCGATGGATAATGACCCAACCCCTTGCCCTCTCCAATCTCCACTAGAATATCAAGTTTTTTTGTGAAGAAAGATTTGAATTCAAAGGAATTTGGGAAATTTGAAGAAAGATCTTCAGATCACAGAAGTTATCAAGTAGCTGCATATCTCAATTGGCCGTTCATGTTCAAGAAAACACAGATGTAGTTTTTTGTTCATGTTCAATGGCTCAAGACAGTACAACGTCTAGAAGGTAAAAGAACCTGCGACATGCATGAACATGTGAACGGTGAAGTCATGTCATTTATATACATAATAAATGTCAAAAAGTGTTCAGATTTTGCAGAAAAAGAAAATCCAAAAGTCAAAACCATTTCATGAAACTTTAAGTCAATCATCAAACACATAAAGCTAAAAGACTAGACCTTTTGTAGCCAAATTAATCAATTGGATTCAAAACACATAATCAAATCAAAGTCTATCAACTTTTTAAACTAAAAAATAGTAGACCCTGTATAGTTTATAGCCAAATCAAACAATCAGATTCAGAAAAATAACTCTGTATTCAAATCAAGTTTATCAAATAACCTGAATAAAAACAAAGAAGAATTATAAAACAAGATCAAATCTTTAGCACAAAAAAAGTGAAATAAAAACCAAATCTTGGAACTTTATGCTACTCATCAGTAACATAAAGCTAAAAAGACTCCACCTTTACCAAATTCCAACACAAACAAATACTCAGATTCAACAAACAACACCACAATCAACTACATAAACATTAAAAAAAAAACAAGAACCCAACATAAACAACAAAGCAAATTAACATAAAAATCAAATCTTTTTCAGTCTAACCGGAAAATATCCCAACAACTATCAAGTCCAGGAATAGGTGGAGGAAATCCATCTTTAGCAAAAAGACTTCTGTAAACAGGACCCATTGATGGTCTTCCATCTTTAGCAGGCTTTGCTGGTTCAACTTCAACAATGAACTTTTCTGGTGCCATTCTTGATCCCTCTTCTTTTTTCTTCCTTCTAACACACAAACACACAAAAAATGTCAATATATGTTTGTATATATATGTGTGTAATAACACAAACACACAATATGTGAAGGAGAAATTGGACTATATGGGTGTTTGGGGGTGGGGGGGGTGGTTGGGTGGGGATAGGTAAGCTGAATTTTGTATATATTCTCTGTGACTGAGAAGGGAGTTTCTTGAATTTGGCCTTTTTTTGACAAAAGTAAAGAAACAAAAAAGACAATAAAATTTTCTAACAGAGATTATTGACCAATGGCAAAATTCAGTCCACTTGTATATATATATATATTTATTACTAAATAAGGCAGCTGTGATTTGCTGGAATATTCCAGGAACCCTAAATCAACTTATTCAAACTCTACTATTAATCAACTTATTCAAACTCTACTATTAATCGAATATTTGTTGCCTTGTATTAGGATAAGTATTAAGTAAATCAACTTACTCGTAAATCTATTGTTAATTGAATATTTCTTGTCACTTATTAATTAACTTTGTGTATTGCGATTTCAGCAGATAAAAACGTGTTAGCTGTCCGTAATAATAAAAAGTTTGTTTGAAATAATAAATACATTTTTTAAATTGAACTTCATTCGTGTCATATTAATTGTCAATGTTATCCAAAAAAAAAATATTTATTCCAAAATACTTGTCGATTTATATAGTCTAAGATTGAGTGAGTAATTTTTTGGTTTACTCACGAAATTAATTGGTTTTGAAAGTAAAACATTGTAATATTTATTATATTAAAAAGAAAAGAATAAAAAAATGAAAAATTATATTTATTTTATAATTTTTTAAAAGACGTATGTGAAAAGAAAACCAGATAATTAATATGAAACGATGAAAGTTGGTGGTTTCTTTGTTGTTATGATATTAATTTTTTGGTTTTTGGGTATATGATATAAATATTGTCCTACTTGCTTAGGATCCATTTTAGAGGGTTTTTTTAAAAAAAAAAATAGATGTTTTTTAGAATATGGCACCACTCATTTAAAAAATTAGTTATTTACATTAATTAAGAAGGTAAAAGAATAACTTTTGATTTATTATACAAACTTATGTTGGATAAAAAAAAATAATGTATTTATTTTAAATTATGTTTAAAAAATAGGAAGACGCTTAAAAGTTCAAATGAATAGGAGGGAGTAATTATTTAATAATCAGGTTATTATGATAATTACATAGTAAATAGGAATAAAACTAGAATAAGACAATCTAAAAAGATTAAGTTATATAAAATGATTGTTAATGATTTTGTGTTGATATTGTATCTTTTTCAAACAAATTCCTATGACTTTGGGAAGCATGACAATTTGGTTAAATCTTAATTCTTAATTAATAATATGTGTTATTATAATATGTATAAAGCTATTGCTAACCTAATTATATTAATAGTATATATTATGACGAAAGTGATGTATCAGAAATTCATAAAGGAAAAAAAATTCAAAAGATTCATCTATTTTATCGGTAGAAAATTGGTATAGTAGGGGGTTTCATAATTGTTTGTGTAGTCTATTTTTTCATATTCTTTGTTAATTTCACACATAATATCCGATAAAATAAAATTTACGATTATTAATTTTAATTTTATCATATAAATATTAAAAAATTATTTTCAAAAAAGCACTAACTCCATTATTTTATAATAAAAGAATTTAATGATTTTAAATTGAAATAATCTAATCGTAGATGGAGGACCATAACTTTTAATTTGTCAAATATGATAATTCAATAAATTAATAAATAGTATGAATTTTTCCACACGTCTATAGAACGTGGACGTGGTCTAAATTCTCCATGTTACGTTTTTTTTTATTATTATTATTATCATTATTAATTACTTACAAATAATAGGAAAAGTATTTTAGTTGACTTCTTAATATATATATGTTTTATGTACATCGATGTAATAAAATTGTGGAACCTTCTCTAAAAGTATTAAGAAAATATGGTATCTTAGATATTATGGATATCATGATAAGTAATACAAAATATATTATTGTCATGATTCAAATATAGAGGCGGAATTAAAATTTTAAATATTTTAATTTTTAATTTTAGAACGATTGATTTTAAAGGCTAACACAACTTGATTCCAAATTTCAATATGAATACATATTTAACTTAGTAAAAGTTATTGAGTTCGATTAGTATGTAATCAGATTTATACTTTTGATAATATTCAAGTCAATGATAGATGTTATTTGTTTTGACTCAAAATACATTACATATTTATTTTTCGGGCTATATTATTATCGAGCTAAAAAAATATGCGTACGATATGAACTTCTGTTAAGCTTTTTATATTTCCACGTAAAATTCACTTAACATGCCATACACATTATTATTATTATTATATTTTAGAAAATTGTCAAAACACATATTTAAATATTGATTTAAAATCACAATAGAAATCGTGAGGATATGTGTTGCGTGGGAACATGGAAATATTATGTCATGTTAATTTGATGAATATACATAACTTAAGCCGTAAATTAATATATTCGAAGATATAATTAACGATATTTAACTATTATAAATTTCTCATATTTATATCTCTATCAACTCTTTAGTCTTAAAGCAAATAAAAGTCTTAAATTCTAGATTACTATATATACATATATAAAAATCATAAATTCAAGATTACTACATGTATAATTTTATATTAATTTGACATTCTACCAAAAAAAAAATTATTAATTTGACATCGATGTACACGTGGGATTCCTTTAATTTTTGGTTTATCATCATAAAAACACTTTCACCAAGTAAAAGAAATATTTTATCTAATAAACTAATAACGGTATAACACAATTTACTTTATTTGTCATATTTCAATGGTTACCTATTAAAACAAGTTAAAATATGATAATCGTGAAATAATGCTATATATTATACGATACATAAAATTATTTTTTACTTTATTTTACATCGATCCTATCATCTCGCAACTACAATATATAAAATTCAAACAAATAAAAACAAAGCCAAGATTTAAATGTGTCACTGAATGACTTCTTCTCAAAAAGCAGCAGCATTAAATAATGAACAATCGTTTTTTACACATATCAAGAAGCAAAAGTTTTAAAAAGACTTTTCTATCATTCTCAGATGTTCAAATTTAAAATGTTTTATTAAACGTAAAGAAATTTCGAATTATACCATTATGACCTATATCTATAACAATTAATTGAGTAGTTAAAGCAGTCACTAGGCCTGTCCAATAATTTTTTTACAACAAAATCCATGCAGAGCCATAGCTGTTACATTTTTTCTTAAAAATAAATAAATGCAAGTTATAAATTTTTCAGATCCTTCAACAGTCTTGAAGATATTGTGAATGCCAAACAAGATTTATGTTGCTATTGGTTTTGATTTTTAACATTAGTTTAAATATACTCCTCCCGTTCACTATTATTTATTCACGATAGACTTTTCAAGCCCCTTAAAAAACAACGATTGACATGATTATTTTATTATAATAAAAATTATTTTAAAAAAATTATAGCTTCCGATAAACCTTCAACTCAAAAGAAAGGAAAACGAAGCACGTTTCCTAGACAGATATAACCGTAAACTAGCAAGATACAAAGCGACTAGTGGACAAGATGGACAGCCAAAAGAACAACACTAGCATTAGAGTATTCATTGTCTCACAAATGTGCATTGGAAATATTTGCCAATTATAGAAATAGAGCATAATATTACAAGACTCTAAATGGATAATCTCTCTCTAATTATGTCTAATGAGGAGAAATAAAGATACTATGGTCCTCGAAATACTCTCGAAACGAAACAAAATCTTGCTTACTCCCCAACACTCGAGAGGGTGCAAACGCGCAATATCGCCAAAAATCATTGAGCTTCTCTGCCCCGATTATTTCAACAAATACAGCTTTTAACTGTGTATATGTATGCAACTAGAGATAACCTATAACTAGCACTCGAGTATTTACCTCTTCTTGTTCTTCTTTCTTCCTTTCACTTCTTTTTCTAAACTTTTGACCCTTTGACTAAGAACCGAGGATGCTGATACTCGTTGACTCGTGGGTCTTGATTCTTCTACAGGAGGGGATGATAAAGCCGGTTGCTGTGATGCTGCGCTCTGCTTTGCTGCTATATGTTGTTGTGCTGCTGCATATTTCTTGAGTGTTTCAAAAAATGGGAGCGCTGGTTTTTGTTCTGTTGGAGATGGAGGACTGTAACGTATTATAGGAATACCCAGTGCCTTCTTGACCGCGTGACTTTTTATCACTGACACACAAGATGAAAAGTGAGATATGTTGTAGAAAGATTGCATTTACCCTCACCTTCACAAATTCCAAATTCCATTCGCGAAACACAGATTCCAATGAGCAGATGAATATTTCAGCAGAAATGAGTGTTATATAGTATATACTAACCCAAACCGTAGGAGAGTGAAAAAAGATTTGAGGTTATCCAGTAACAGAAAATTGCCTGCATTGATTCAAATGCTGTGTATTAAAAAGTCTCACTTTACAAACAAATGACTATGAGACAAATACCATATATCGAACGGCATGTACAAAGATTATACTGCACATATGAACTCTTAAACGAACATGGCAAAAGATGGATGTAATGGATTTAAACAAGGTATAAAATTCTAGATTACACCAAACTTTTTTGTGGCAAAAGATGGATGATACATTCTTGATAAAACTATGCCTATTAACAACCTCAAGAAAATCCAGCCAGACACCAGTAGCAATGTACACATATGACCAATCACGCTGACAATTTCTTTGATTACGTGTTCCAGCAATATCAGAAGAACATCTCTCTTAAAACTATGTGTGCAGACATGCAGAAAAGGTGTTCTCTGTTTTTGATATGCTGTTTGCATGCTCAAAGACTAAAACCGAAATACATAATCATGAAAATTCTTGACATGCAGAAAAGATGCAATGTTTAAGATGATAAAATGGATCAAACGAAAGAAAAACAGGTAGTATGTTTTAAATCCGGAAATGGACGAACATACAGTTGGCAGGCCATCAAGAAACTTAAGCAGCCAAATACATCTTCACAAAGCAGCCAAATTCATCTTCAACAAAAAATCTCAAATTCCTTCAAATATGAACATCAAAATTTAATCTTAACACGTGATAGCTTGTAACCTTCATCAACCAACCCCCCAACCCAAAAAAAAAGAGAGAAAAAGGGGATACTGCTCCTCTCAATATTGTGATCAATAACTAAATATACCACCACCACCATAGGCCATACTTTTCATACAAGTCAAAGATATAAAACAAACTTGTGCATCTACCCGAAGTAAGGCTATTCATGTATCCAACAATTCAACCAGAAAAAGTATTTGGCTACAATTAGGAGACCACCAGGAAAAGAACAGGAAAAAAAGGAAAAAAGGAGAAAAGGAAGTTGGCAACAAAGGCGCATCAGAAACTTCTACGTACACAGATTTTGAAGATTTGTCATCATGCATAAATAGGACAAATAAACTATGAACCATTATAAACAAGTTGGTTGCATATCCCACCTTAGCAAAACTAGCAGTAAGTGGGACAGTTAGCACAGCAAAGGCCCGTGAAACATTTTTTATAGTTTTACCAGCAGGATTTCCCTCCAATCCTTCTTGAGCATTCAACTGCAAGAGAAATTCTAGTTAACAAAATTGACCAGAATAATATGCTCTAAAGTACTGTTAAGAAAGACAGATAGCTGCTAATGATGGCTAGAGTATTAAACTTGATATCAACAAAAATGAGACGAGTGTCAAATCTTCAAGAAGTTTCAACATTAACTTGATAATGGCATATTTACAGGTGCTGACTCCGTCATCATTTCTCTCTATATATTTTTCCGTCTATCTTTCTCTCTCCCTGTCTATTTTTTTTACCTACCGCTCTGGTGCAATCTGAACAAATATCTTTAATGATTCTACAAGATAACATCAGATATTTGTAACTGTTAGAGTGGGCTAGAGTCCCACGTTGGTTGGGAAACCAGTGGTTTGCTTATATGGACTCGGGTAATACTCCTGTAGGAGTAGTATCCTATATGGACTTGTGTAATACCGATTATCTTCAGCCTTAATCAACAACAAAGATGCCACTAAAAGAGTCAGGGATGGCTCATGGCTGGAGTCTAAGCTTCCGAAGACACCTTAATGATTGAGAGATAGATAACTTGGCAAAATTCTACAACACTCTCAATCTATTCAAAGGTCCCTCCTCTCAGGAAGACAATCTTACATGGCAAGTAGATAAACAAGGGATATTTTCAGTCAAGTCAGCTTACAAGGAATTCAACCATTCTAACAACCAGATTAATTGTTGGCCATGGAAACTAATCTGGAAAGTCAAAATTCCTCACAAAATCACTAGTTTCACTTGGCTCATGGCCAGGACAACGGTCCTATCTCATGAAGGACTTAGATGCTTCCACCTATCCTCTAAATGTTATATGTGCAGAGAAAAATCAGACACAATCTACCATCTTTTTTTATACTGCAAATTAACTGGACAAGCCTGGAGGATTTTCCTCAATTTAAAAGAGATCATGTGGGTGATGATGCCAAGATACACTTGAAGCGTTGGAGTGCTGGAACAATATAGCACTCAGTCAGAACAGAAAAAAAGATGGAAGATTATCCCTGCTTGCATTTGGTGGACAGTTTGGATGAGAGAAATCAAAGGTGTTTTTTAGACAATCATAGCTCTATCCAGAAACTGAAGATGAAGTGCCTAGCCCTTTCTATTTTTGGTGTAAACATGAATATATGAAAGACAATTTTATTAATGTTCTAGGATCTCTGTAATTAGGTTATAGCTTAGTACATCTTCATATATTCCCTTGTAAGTATGGTAGTTTTTATGCAGCAAATAGTTATCAAAAATGTTACATTCTCAAAGAAAAAAAGAGAAAATTAATAGACTGAGATAACTTATAACTTTACCTCCACTGTTATCCAGAATGTTAAAGCCGTCAAAACTGGAAGGATATACATATCATCTGGAGTAGTTAGATCAGTAAACCACAATGGTCCACCCGTTTTGAGAGAAGGAACAGCATCCACCATGTTCCTAATCTGCATTTTCAAGAGATACCATAAAGGGTCTAATTATGTAAGAGATATTGGGATGGGAGCAACCAACAATACAGATAGTGAAGGGATAATCTTACAGCCATAAAAAAACTGATGAAGATCGGGCCTTGTATTAGTAGTCCTTTTAAGGGAGTGAATGGAGTTACTCCGTATCTGCAAGCATGACAATAATTTAATAAAGACACTCATCATATCAAATATTTCACCCAGAGCATTATCAAAGGAATTGCTTTTTGAAGTATGTGGCTACAGCTACTTGTATTTTCGATCTACATCAGATAATAAAAGCATTCCATCGAACTGATGACTTGAAGATTGACTTCTTGTCTAAACCATGCAAAATAAGTTGAAGGTTTTGCTGATAGGTCACCATGTATGTTTTGAAATGCCAATGGAAATAGCATTGCTGAAGACTAGATAGCTTAGTTTAGGATTCACACGCAATCAGACAGGTTGATAATTAGGTAAAGCAACCTGTTTAATCATCGTTTCTCACCTAGTGCCAATAACATCATGATTACATTGAGAAACTGTTGGACAGAAACTAAAGTAGCGAAGCAAAACAGAACTGAGCTGAGACTAGGAAAAGGCTAACTACAAAGTGAAGCTAAGAAAAGTACAACTAACATTGAAATGCTTCAAGACAGGAGATAATTACTTATGTCAAGCTGACAAGCTCACCATTAATTGGAATAATGTCTTTCAAGAAGAACATATATAACATAAATAATTTATGACATATGGAAAAGTATAATCAGAACGCCCCATTCAATTTTGTCGGTTGCTTAAGGTCGTGGAGGCATCATTTCCATCCAACTGAAAGAAAGTTGCGTAATCTACACATAAATGATATTTGCTTTCAAACACTCAACACTTAATAATACTAACATTTTGAAGTTCAACTGAACTACTGCCGACAGATAATGTGAGTGAGAATAAGAAGAGATTCAGGATTATAGTTGTTAGGAAAGCAGATGCAAGTGATGAGAAGTTCAATACTAAGTAAGGGGATGGTGATGGGTCGATATGCAGCTCAAAGTAGATAGACACTGGCTCGAGAAAAGAAAAATATATATATATAGGACTAAAAGAAAAGGAAAGAATCAACGGATTTATCTATATGAGGAGCTAGTTAACTTCTATAAAAATGGCAAATTTCCAAGTCAGCTCTTGGGAAGGCTGACTATTCCACCTGGTGGATCACAAGTTTCAAACGGGTTTCTTTCTTTAATAAACAAGAAGCTCGACACCACATTCCATTAATTTTACGTACCAAACTTTACGAGTAGAAAATATCCTACCTATGAGAAACTCTTTTAATTATAAAATTTCAAAAAGTTTTTAGCACATCCAGTGAGAATGTTAACTGTCTTGGTAGTTATCAATAAATTTTGTTCACTTAGTTAAAAAAGGTAGAGTTTTAGATGCATTGTCTACATATTTTCTTTTAATTCCCTTTTGCTTATTATGTCGAGAAGTCAACAAACTAAGATCCATAAGAAGGAAATCTAGCTTTTGCATTTTGCTAAACTAGACAGTAGCATAGGGCCCCTAATCCCTATTGCACAGATGTACTTCCATTTTGTAGAAAGCACGACATTGAACAGAACTAGTTGATTTTTTTTTTTGACAAAAACTAGTTGACTTCAAATTAAATACTTTCTAGAGGCGTATCCAGGATTTCAGAATGATGTGTGCACTATTATGAAAAGGTAGATCTAATCGGTTTGACATTCAGGTTTGTATCATTGAAAACAGTTAAAATTTTAATTCAATAGGTCCAAAAATGAAATGATTATTTAGTAAAACGCCAAAAGTGCTACAATAACCACTTAGAGAGGTGTTCTCTAATTTTAGAAAAAAAGATGATACAAGATAGATATAAATTTCAAATTTCTAATCACAGTGAGAGACTGAAAGGTGCACCCAATCATCATTGCATTATGATACTTCAATTGTGGGTTCACACAGGAGGGAAGCATGGGTTCACGTGAACCCGGTGACCTCTCCTGCATACGCCTCTGCTTTCTGGTCATTTGGACAAGTAACAACTAACAGATAAAAAAAGTAATCCTGTTGAGCACGAGTACTGCTATTATGAGATCATACAGCTCGAAGAAGTAAAAATCTGGACTTTAACGTCAAACTTGAGCAAGTAGGTGTATCGAACAATTCAAGTACAGTGCACTGCTGCCTTGTACCAGGAGAAGGCATAGCTTTGTCGGTGAGCCATGCAATGTTTGAGAAGTGTTCCATTCAAACAATGACATGCAAAGTGATTTAGCAAGAAGTTATTGGTTCTTTGAATTTCATGTGTGAGGAATAGGGTTATAATCGGCATTATTGTGTATTGGATACTAAAATTAGTTGATTCCTCCTTTCCACTTTGTTTGGCACTTCCCTTATTTTCTTGTTCCAAAAAGAATTGCACATTCTTATATCTCTTAATGAGAAGTTTTTGTAGCCACACCAATGTTATAACATGTTTACAACTTCAAAAATTTATAGCCACACAAATTTTATTCCATATTTAAGATCACAAGTTGTTGCTGGTACTGTTCTTTTTCTATTATTTTCTATATGTTTCTTCACTATTGAATTTCCTTTACTTACTGATTTGGAAATGCTTTACATGAGCTGAGGATTTATCAGAAACAACCTCTGTGGGGGTATGTTGTTGATGTATTTAAGATCACAAGTTTCAAACGGGTTTCTTTCTTTAATAAACAAGAAGCTCGACACCACATTCCATTAATTTTACGTACCAAACTTTACGAGTAGAAAATATCCTACCTATGAGAAACTCTTTTAATTATAAAATTTCAAAAAGTTTTTAGCACATCCAGTGAGAATGTTAACTGTCTTGGTAGTTATCAATAAATTTTGTTCACTTAGTTAAAAAAGGTAGAGTTTTAGATGCATTGTCTACATATTTTCTTTTAATTCCCTTTTGCTTATTATGTCGAGAAGTCAACAAACTAAGATCCATAAGAAGGAAATCTAGCTTTTGCATTTTGCTAAACTAGACAGTAGCATAGGGCCCCTAATCCCTATTGCACAGATGTACTTCCATTTTGTAGAAAGCACGACATTGAACAGAACTAGTTGATTTTTTTTTTTGACAAAAACTAGTTGACTTCAAATTAAATACTTTCTAGAGGCGTATCCAGGATTTCAGAATGATGTGTGCACTATTATGAAAAGGTAGATCTAATCGGTTTGACATTCAGGTTTGTATCATTGAAAACAGTTAAAATTTTAATTCAATAGGTCCAAAAATGAAATGATTATTTAGTAAAACGCCAAAAGTGCTACAATAACCACTTAGAGAGGTGTTCTCTAATTTTAGAAAAAAAGATGATACAAGATAGATATAAATTTCAAATTTCTAATCACAGTGAGAGACTGAAAGGTGCACCCAATCATCATTGCATTATGATACTTCAATTGTGGGTTCACACAGGAGGGAAGCATGGGTTCACGTGAACCCGGTGACCTCTCCTGCATACGCCTCTGCTTTCTGGTCATTTGGACAAGTAACAACTAACAGATAAAAAAAGTAATCCTGTTGAGCACGAGTACTGCTATTATGAGATCATACAGCTCGAAGAAGTAAAAATCTGGACTTTAACGTCAAACTTGAGCAAGTAGGTGTATCGAACAATTCAAGTACAGTGCACTGCTGCCTTGTACCAGGAGAAGGCATAGCTTTGTCGGTGAGCCATGCAATGTTTGAGAAGTGTTCCATTCAAACAATGACATGCAAAGTGATTTAGCAAGAAGTTATTGGTTCTTTGAATTTCATGTGTGAGGAATAGGGTTATAATCGGCATTATTGTGTATTGGATACTAAAATTAGTTGATTCCTCCTTTCCACTTTGTTTGGCACTTCCCTTATTTTCTTGTTCCAAAAAGAATTGCACATTCTTATATCTCTTAATGAGAAGTTTTTGTAGCCACACCAATGTTATAACATGTTTACAACTTCAAAAATTTATAGCCACACAAATTTTATTCCATATTTAAGATCACAAGTTGTTGCTGGTACTGTTCTTTTTCTATTATTTTCTATATGTTTCTTCACTATTGAATTTCCTTTACTTACTGATTTGGAAATGCTTTACATGAGCTGAGGATTTATCAGAAACAACCTCTGTGGGGGTATGTTGTTGATGTATTTAAGATCACAAGTTTCAAACGGGTTTCTTTCTTTAATAAACTTTGTGCCAATCAAACTTTGATGATTATGATACTAATAATTTCCAAAATCTGGGTGCTTTCTGTCAAACAACCACACAGTCCACTTCATACTTTTCATTTCAAGCCTCATGGACATAGTTGCTTTTTGTTTGCTTCTAAACACATTGTGATCTGGTGTTGTCATTTATAGGGTTACGTAAAGGAAATCTAATACTTGAAAAGACAGTTTATATACATTATCAGTTTCCCCAAAAAAAGACAGTTTGTATACAAATTAATGACTGCAAAGGACTTCTTCCAGAACATAGAAACAACTTTGACATGATTGTCTAATGTTACAAAGTTCTCAAAGAAAACTATCTAACATTACTACACTATCCCCACTTCTTCAATTTTCAGGTTACAACTAAAATTGGTATTTCCAGCCTAAGGCTACTGTTACATATGACACTGATTGTTCGTTCTGGCAGATACTTCAATTTACGAGCAATGGGCTTTATATTAATTGCTTCAAAATTAAATTTAGGAGAACGAAAGACCAAGCAATTACTTGAAACAGACGCCAACATAGGTGTAGCTAACAAATGAACTTCGCCTGAGGTCCGGGTTTTTTAAGATCCTTCAGTGTTCAGTCCCAACAAAAGTTAAGTAGGGAAACCAATTGGATAATTTTTGTTGCTCAGCAACATTTGTAACTTGTATATGTTGACATACTCGAACTTCTGAATTACCTTCTCAGTTTCCTTCACTAATTTTGTGCATACAATGGAGGTCCTGTGTGGGTTTAAGATTCTATGGGAACATTTTTCTTTTTCTTTAAGAAAAGGTACGATCATACGTATTTTGGTCTAGTTATTTCACCAACTGCCTTAAGATGTTATTATGTAAGCAAACTGAGACATTAACAAGGTTAAAATGCACTTAAGAAACTTACCGTAAGTTTTGAAGTAGCTTTAAGCTGATTAATCATTAATGGAAGAATAACCAACCGAATCATAATACTTGTAACAACTATGGATCCCCACCTGTACAACATCAAAATTTTCAAGATGAAGCCAAGACGTAAGAGTTGTCACTTAATTAAACAAAGCATGATGCCTTAATTTTAACTTGGAACAAAACTTGCACAAAAAATGTGGTAGGAGGGGGGAGAATGACTGAGAGAGAGAGAGAGAGAGAGAAACTCTTAACGACCTAAGGTTTAAAGTATTTCAGCTAAAATGTAAAATCTCGAACTTCCAAACATATCTCTCAAACAAGAACTACTACCAACATTAAGTCCAAGCAAGCAATTATTTCAAATGAAAGATCTGCAATTTTGAAGCCCAGCTAAGTTTATGCAGAGTATAAAAGAACAAACTCAGCAAGCCTAATTGAATACATGTCAGATGCTTCAATTGCAATGATAACTTCAACTTAAAACTATATATCTTAAGGTTCTACGAAATCTTTCAGTCAAAAAAATGTATATTTGTTTAATAAAAGGACTATGGGAATAACAAACGAGATAAAATCATGCTTCTTGTTCTTGAACCCCTTTCCAGCCCCAAACCAAGAGTGCATTGAGTTGTTAATGTGATAGTCATCACTCTGTTTCTCACCTAAATATTATCAAGAGGTGAATAACTATATACTTCATTTCTTTTTCCTACTAAGCAATGCAAATGTACTGTAAAGACACCAGAATGAGATAACAGGAAAAATTAGAGGCAGCAACATTTACTCTTACCATTCAAACCCAGTAAATATATGAACGTAATCCATCAAATACATCAATGCCTTCACCGGCAAATAACAATCTGCAGCAGCATTTGCCACCTCGTTCAAAGCTGGAGCTTGAGAAACTACAGCTTCCACAGCCTTATCAGCAAGTACTTCGGCAACATCAGTCATGTAATTAATTTTATCTGCTTCACCACCAATATCAGTTGACATATTCCTGGTCAAAGAGGACCCATAACTCATCGGAATCATAAGTCCTGAAGCACAAAACCTCCTGTCTTGATATGGGCTTCTTGAGCCAATGAAGCTGTTAACTCCACTTACACTTCCCATGTAACGGGATTGGGAAAAACTAGTAATTCTTAAATTCTCAAAAGTCGGTTCAGGACAGCTCTTACGATCATCATCATCCTTATGAAAATAAGAAAATGAAGGAGTGACTCTTTGTTGCTGATAAAGAAGCTTCGCTCGCGTTGTTATGCTGCGCCTATAAGCCATTCTTTATATATGCTTCCTATAAACAGATTCAGCAGCAAACATTAACACCCCAAATCATATATAGGCAACCATGACAGTATATACATAACATAAGCATCATAAATATGAAACCTTTAGGGAACGCTTGGTAGGATCTATTAGAAAATATAATACATGTATAAGTCATAATATTATTTAATCTTTTCTATGGTAGGATCCTCAACCTATCTATAACGGTATAACCAATACACAACCATGAACAAACCATGGTATTAGCATTACAAGGACTACTAGGACATGGATAAGCACTATTAAAAACAAAATCGCCCTTAATACACTAAATTAAACCCTGAATACTAATACACCCTATTCAGTACTCCCCAGTATCAATTTGTGTAGCACAGCTAAAATTTTGAGATTCAAACTTCTAAACTTTGATTGTAAATTCAGACATAAGCTATTTGAAAACTACGTAAAAAGTAAAACTTGTTGACTATCGAAATTCAAACTGTGCCACTTAAATTGAGGACAACAGAGTACTGTTTTTATACACTCTACCAAAATGATCCCTTAAAGTCACACACACAGCAAAAATACAGAGACATATAACATAAAGATGATAACTTTATATTCATTCACACAAAACAAGGATAACATTTTTAGATTCATTCACACAACAAAATGACACAAAAAGAAGCAAAATTAGAAAAGATTCAAAGCTCAGATCCCAATTATTGTGATTTGTGATTCAAAAAATACATGAATATGAAGTTTAAGAGTAGAAAACTTACAGCAATATGTGATTGCAAGAGCGAAGAAAGAAGGGTTTACGGGGTTTTATGAAGTAAAATGAAGAGAGAAAAAAGTACGAGGAGTGAAATGTAAGATCGATTTTTCTGTTTCAAACGGGTTTTTTTGGTGGGTTGACCCGTTTAGACCTCGGGGCTCCGAGAGTTTTGTTGCCATTTTGGGGGGGTATTTTTGACTTTTCATAGTAGTAGCATATTCTTCTCAGATACTTGCACATGGCTTTTGGGCTTGTGGAAGATAGTGGCCCAAATTATTGATAATAGTAGAAAAAATTAGTAAACTAGTCAAAATAAATAACATATTTAGCTTTATAAATATTAGTATTAATGTCAAAAATGTCATTATTTTAAAAAATTTATGTGTCCCAATTTTCTTGCTATTTTATCTCTCATTTTCAATTAATTCTATATATCCTTTTTTTTAAGAAAAAACATTCTCTCTCATATTTATCTTTTCAAATTGTAATTTTTTTTTCTCTCTCATGGTTATCTTTTGTGATTTTCCTCCAACATTCAAGTTGCAAATATTTTTTTGTCATATATTTTGGTTGTTTTTTTAATCCAAAGTTGAATCAACAAGAATCTCTTTGATTAAGGTATCTCAAATTTTTATCCTATTTTCAGATTTCTTTTCTAATTTTATTTTTGTTTAAATCTTAAAAAAATGTTGTTTGTATTTTTCAATTTCCGTTATGATTTACTCTCCAATGGTTGAATCCAAGAGGCTTACTAGAGGTATTCATCTTAATCAACCAATTTCTGGTGATTTTTCATCCTTTAATTTATTTATTACTAAACAAATAGTGTATAATGTATGATCCGCTGCTAAAATGAGGGAAGAAAGAGGGTAAAAACATTTACAAGACTCATTGGTGTGCAAAACCTTCCTCAAATTCAGAACGGAAATGTGGAATCTTTGTCTACTCGTGAGGATCTTGAAAAAGACGACGAAGATAGGATAGTTGTCGAACAATTTTCTATTAGTTTGTTTTGTATTTATAGTTCTTTTTTAGAATTTGGTATGCTTTCTTAATTTGTATTCAAATCACTATGTATACTATCAATATTTGTATTTATTAAAAATTTCATGTTGCATGATTTATCATAAACCTTGTATTTGTCCCTAATTTGTACTTATCCAAATGTATGTCAACTAGTTATGTATTTTATTTATAAGAAGAACAACTTTCTATTAGTTTATTTGTATTTGAATACAAATACAAATAATAGACATATTGGAATGAATACGACTTAGAAAAGGAAACAAGATTTTGAAAAGAAAAATAAATACACAATGAAAAATATATACGAATACAAATGTATTTATTAAATAGCTACATTTTATTTGACATACATATTGGAATGAATACAAACTAATAAAGGTATGTCAACTGAATTTGACATTTTTTTCTAATTTGTATTTATTCTAAAGGTATGTCAACTAGTTATGTATTTTATTTAAGAATGAGTACACCAAATATTCAATTATTTCTTTTCAATTTTATATTTCATTCACTTTTTCATCATACTAATTTTTCGTATTTTATATATTATTATACAAAATTCTAAATAAAAATTAGAATAAATAGAAATACAAATAAAATACATATTGAAATGAATACATACAGGATTTTTGAAGAAAAAAAACTATATAGGGAAAAAATATATGAAAATACAAATATATTTCTTAAATGACTACATAGATAAATTCGGCATTCCTATTGGAATGAATACAAACTAATAAAAAACTATAATAAATATAAATAGAATATATTGTGAAATGAATATAATTTTAAAAAGGTAAAAATTTTGAAGAAAAAAAATAAAATTTAAATTTTATTTGAAAATGTAACTGATGAGAAAATTAAGGATGCTTACCGTTCTTTAAAATATTCCCCCCTTAATTTTCTCCTTTTTGTTATTAAATAATTATATTCTTTAAATAAAAATAAATAATAAAAACATAAATAAGATACATAACAAACTAAATGACATTTTTACTAAATATTGAAATTGTTGCTAATGAGTCCTCTTAAATGCTAAAATATTGACATTTTGAAAAATTTCCCATAATACTATGAAACCATTTCGAACGACGGGGCGGAGTCGGGATTTGAAGTTGAATTTGCCATCTAGATTTTAGTTATTGGGTTCATAATTATATTTTTTGTCATCAAACTCATAGTTCACTCGGTTATTCGGTTCATAATTGCATGTTTATATAGTATTTTTTTATATATAGAATATAAGCAAAAGTTATTGAATTCGCTTGAACTCGTATTAATAAATATAAGTATGTATGTCCAATATGTGATATCATCTATAAGCGTGATTGCTAGATGATTAGAGGAGTTCAACCCTCTTAATGAAAATTCTGATTTTGCAACTATCAACTACAATCATCATACACAGTTATGATAATAGTAACGGGGATATTATTTTTCACGTAAATACCACGAACTCTGTTCACAAAGTTTGTCTATCCATAAACATTTGTTAAACATGTATATCTAGGGTATCTCTTTATACATGTAGTTCTTTTTTTTTATGGAATAATATGATCGGCTAGTCGTAATCGCGTATTAGCTATGCTCAATGCGGGATTTTCTGTTTTTTTAGATTTAGAGAAGTGAATTCCTTATTCAATCTTTTTCGATGAATATTTCTATTTAAGCTTTAAAAAATTTAATTCAATCGAAAGACTAAGTAAGGTGCAGTACAAGGTCCAACCAATCTCATTTGATAGTTCGGAAGAATAAGAAGGGAAAAAGAAGAGCAACATTATCTGTACGTCATGTAAAGTGCAAAATCATTTCCTTTCTAAAAAAAAAAAAAAATTAACGCCAAAAAGAATTCTATCCTATATCCTTTATTTTCTTTCCATTTACAATACTTGGAACTCACAACTTATATACAAGAAGAATAATTTCCCTATAAAAGACATCAAAAATCAAAGCAAAACGGAGTCTTTGTGTGTGTGTGTTGAGGCCTATGGAGAAGACGACGATACCAAAGAAGTTGACGATGAGCAAGGATGTAACGATCGATCTGGTGTGTTTCTACATAAGGGGCAAGTAGCATTTAACTTAAGCCATTCATCAATGCATTCAGCATGAAAATAATGGTTGCATTCTGGTATAGTTCTTAACGTTTCTTTAGGCATGTAGTCCGATAGACATATCGGACAAGTGCCATCGTTGGGATTGGGGAGACGTTGACTCTCCCCGAGCACTGTCTTGGGATATGTATCAATGATTGCCCTGTTAAGACCTCTCGTGGCGATGGCTGATTGTAGATTAATGGTTCTTGGGAGATCAGAGTTCAAATCACGACGAAGAGTGTAAACTTTAAGTTTACCAAATGCAAAGCCTATTATTCCAATTAAGCATACAAAACCTGGCACCCCAACTCCAATTATAATGCCATATTTGGCTCCTCTTGGAAGTCCTGCACAAATAATATCGACTATTGTTAAACAATATTCAATTAAAGACCTTACCTTTAATCCAAACTAGTCACAAACTTATATATCCAAGTTATTATTTAAGGTTGCCATTAAATTAAATAAATCTGTTAGTAGTAGAATATTTACAATTTTAATGAAGTGAAGATAAAATCATCTGTCTAAATGTTAGAGAACAAATTATCAAACGTCTAGTAAGTAGAAATAACGAATACCTATGATTGTCTCGATAGGAGTGTTAATCTACGTTAACTCGTGCTTTTCTTTATAGATTGTGTATATAAATGTCACTATATATTTTAATTGGAACCCCTTAATTATACATATGAATTCATACCTAAAACCAAAAAGTACTACTAACCTAATTATTACTATTAAATATATCTCTAAAAGTGAATTGACGATTCAAATCTTATATCTATCTTAGGTCTTCTTGTTTTCTAGAACTAGAATTAGATCCACACTCATGATTTGTGTCGTTTCGTGCGTTTTAATTAAATTTTCTTTTTTATTTTGGTGAATTTTTTCAAAATTTTATAAGTTGACAAATTGAAATCTTTATTTTTCCTTTATTTAATAATAGCATAAAAATTCATATAATTAAATTAAGCGTCTATACGATAGATAGCTAGTTATTGATTATTTTTTTTTTCTGCCCAACTCCTTACCGGTTAGCTCTCTATAACGTGGCATGGTAGCTTTGAAGGTCATGGATGGTGGCCATATATGGCTAAAATTTTATTAACTTTGTGAAATTAGAGCCTCATATTCTTGCACTATGTGTCATCAATAATGTGACAAATTTGATAGGCATTATATATTGACTTTTTGCAAATAAAGTCAAATCTTACTACTCTATATTTTCGATCTAAAAATTTTCCTCACTTTTATAATAAAAAAGAGTTATTTCAAGGATAATCACTTAATTAATAATTAATATTTGTGTAAAGTTACTTTATTTGTTAAATATCATTAAATTCAAAGAAAAATAACTTTATGAAAATCAAATCTTTGGATAAAACTTATCTGTACCGGATGTAAACACCAGACTATGCTTTAGACTTTGTCTAAGATTAAAACACTTAAAAGACTCTAGCTAATAAAAGAAGTAGAGTCAACCAATAACCTACACTTAAAAAGTCTATTCGGATTGATTTAAAAACTGATCAAACTGATTTAAAAGTCAGTTTTTGACTTATTAGAGTTTTTGACAATTATTAAAGTGACTTATTTTTAAGTCAAAAATGACTTATTTTAAGTCAAAAGTTAAAAGTTAGGTGAGGTTTTTTTTTTCAACTTAAAAGTTATTTTATGTTGACCAAATATATTACTTTTTTGTCGTTAATTCTTTTATTATTATTATTATTATTTATTATCATTATTACTATTTTATTATAATTATAATTATAAAAAATTTGTGATGCTAAAGAAATATGTGAATGATAGGAAATATTATTACTTGTGGATGTAAAATATAAATTAGTATTGTTTTGATTTTTTTAAGTATAAAAATCTTAAATTAATCAACTTTTTATCGTATTAACAGTTTTAAGGGTATTTTAGACATTTTAATAAAAAAGTGTTTACCAACACTTATTTGCCAAACACGTCAACAACTTTTTTTTCAATTGAAACACTTCTATCC